ATTGGTAGTACTTGTTGATGACTGTTCTCTAGACATATTTTGCCGTCGCCGCTGCCTTCTTTCAACTTCAAAGGCACATTGGTCTTTAGACATTTTCTATCGATAACGCTGATGTTTTTCGGTATCAGAGCGACGTTTTTCCAGTAGCTGGTGTTCAGATACGTTCTGTCACAGGTGCCGCCTTCTTTCATGCTCTACAGACATTTTCTGTTGATAACGCCGGCATCTTTCGGCTGCAGAGCTACTTTGTGTCAACAGTTGTTCTTTAGACATAGTCCCACCTCTCTACTTTCACGGTCTGAGATGCAGGTGAATGAGAGTCCTGGCTGTCAGGCCGCTGAGAGCTGTCTGACCAAAGGCTGATTCTGGCTGATTCTGTGGGTGTGGGACTTCCTCCTCCCTGATATCAGTTTCCACAGCTGTGATGAGGAAGCTGGGGTGACAGAGGGAGCCGGGGTCTCCAAGCCTCCCTCTCTCTCTCTCTGCTCTATGTCCAGCGGCCTCCTGCTCTGCCAAGTCCTCCAAACCTCCCGCTCTCCACCCATTCCTCTCCTGCTCTACTCTCAGCCAGCAAGGTCCCGGGAGCGCGCAGGCGTGGGTTGGTGCAGCAGGCCTCGCCTCCAGGGCCCGCACTGGTCCCGGGAGCCCACAGCCGCCATTGCCTCCTGGGGCACTTGACACCTGTGTATGCAAATTAATCGCCATCTTTGTCAGGTTAATTTGCATAGTCACTCTGATTGGCGTGTGTGTGGCTTGAGAGTTGCGGAGGGACGGTTGATTTGCATATTTCTCTTTTATTATATAGGACTAGAGGCCCAGTGCACAAAAATTTGTGCTCTCTGGGGGTTGGGGGGATCCCTCAGCCCGGCCTGTGCCCTCTCGCGGTCTGGGACCCCTCGGGAGATAATGACCTGCTGGATTAGGCCTGCTCCCGGGTGGCAGAGGGCATGCCCAATCCCTAGGTGCAGCCCCTGGTCGGGCTCAGAGCAGGGCTGATTGTGGAGTTGGGGCGCCGCCCCCTGTCATGCACAGAGCAGGGCGGATTGGGAGGTTGGGATGCCACCCTCAGTCACGCTCAGGGTAGGGCCGATTGGGGAGTTGGGGCGCCGCCCCCTGTCATGCACAGAGCAGGGCGGATTGGGAGGTTGCGCTGCCACCCTCAGTCACGCTCAGGGTAGGGCTGATTGGGGGGTTGCGGTGCCACCCCCTGTCACGCACAGAGCAGGGCCAATCAGGGGGTTGGGGCGCTGAGCCCTGTCACACACAAAGCAGGGCCCATCAGGGGGTTGGGGAGCTCCCCCCTGTCACGCACAGAGCAGGGCCCATCAGGGAGTTGAGGAGCTCCCCCCTGTCACTCACAGAGTAGGGACGATAGGGGAGTTGGGGCACCGCCCCCTGTCACACACAGAGCAGGGCGGATCAGGGGGTTGGGGCGCTGCCCTCTATCACCCACCGAGCAGGGTCGATCAGGGGGTTAGGGCGCCGCCACTCTCACACTCAGAGCAGGGCCGATGGGGAGGTTATGGCTCTACCCCGTCACACACAGAGCAGGGCCTGTGGGGGTGGGGGGTTGGGGCGCTGCCCCCTGTCACGCACAGAGCAGGGCGGATCGGGGGGTTGGGGCGCTGCACCCTGTCACACACAGAGCCGCAGGGCGATCAGGGGGTTGGGAAGCTCCCCCCTATCAGGCACAGAGCAGGACTGATCAGGGGGTTGGGGCGCCTTCCCCTGTCAGGAACAGAGCAGGGTGGATAGGGAGGTTGTGGCCCCGCCCCTTGTCACACACACAGCCGCAAGGCGATCAGGAGGTTTGGGCGCTGCGCCCTGTCACACTGTTCCCGGTGCCGGGAGGCCTCTCAGCTCCGCTGATCCCAGTGCTTGGAGGCATATTACCCTTTTACTATATAGGGTAGAGTCCTGGTGCACGGGTTTGGGCCGGCTGGTTTGCCCTGAAGGGTGTCCTAGATCAGGGTGGGGGTCCCCACTGGGGTGCCTGGCCAACCTGGGTGAGGGGATGATGGCTGTTTGCAGCTGGTCACACACTCTTCAGGGTGGGGGTCCCCACTGGGGTCAGTCTGGGTGAGGGACTGAGGGCTGTTTTCAGGCTGGGGGTGACTGAAGCTCCCAACTGCTCCTTTTTTTCTTTTTTCTTTTTTTATTCTGGGCCAGCTTTAGCTTTGAGGCTTGGCTCCACCTCTTAGGCCTCCGCTGCTGAAAGTAGGATTCTGGCCTTTGCTTACAATGTTGTGATCCTGCTGGCTGAAGCCCAGCGGACTAAAGCAGGTTTCTGGGGTTTTGTTTAGCTTCTATATTTGTTACATAGTTGCTTAGAGTTGCAGCTCAGAGGCCTGCAGTGGCAGGCGGGGAACGTTGGAGTTCTCCGTCACTGAAGCAAGCAAGCCTCATGTTAGTTTCAAGCTGCCTGGCTGCAGGCCGCCATCTTGGCTGGCAGTTAATTTGCATATCTTGCTGATTAGCCAATGGGAAGGGTAGCGGTTGTACACTAATTACCATGTTTCTCTTTTATTAGATAGGATAGGATGGTCTCTAAATAAGAAGTAAAGACAGGGCACTGTTTCTGGGCTAGTATTTCTACTAAAATTGTTCTTTTTAAAGGTGTTTTATTTACCCTGGTAGATTTGTAGCTTGTAGCTAATGCACATTGTCTCGAGTAAAAAATATTCTTAGAAGTTCAGAAACAAACTGTAAACTGTCTTTTATTCTACCCAAAGGGACTCTGGATTATTAGTATAACAATACTTATAGCTGCCTCCCCTGGTTTTCTGGTATTTTGATATTTAGGCATACATATCATCTACACAGTAAGCACTATATATATATATATCATCCTGAACTTTTCAGCAACTGTAATAGATGCTATACTTTTAAGGTTTTAAATCAAGCATATATTTTAGAAAATATTTTGAAGAGTTACTGAGATCTCAGTCCCTCCCCCTTCCCTCCATTTTTCCCTTTCCCTGTCTCTCCTCTAACCAAATGGGAAGAATTATTTGATAATGTGTTTTCCAGATAATGTATAATATAGCACGTTTGGGTTTCTGATTTTTTTTGGGGGGGGGGCGGGGGACGGGTATGATGAGTGTGAGGAAAATGAGAATGTTAAAAATTGGAGTAAATGTAAACAGTTGATTTTAAGAAACAAAGTTTTATTACTTGGTACAGCAGTTTATCCACTTCATTAATCTTTGAGAAATTTTCCTTGCTTAATCACACATTTGCAGGTATATTTTAGAATGCTCACTGCACATTTTCATGTACCCTGTGCATGTGCAGCCAGGCTGTAACCATACTGCACTCTGACTTATTTTCTACCACTGTCAGCACTGGCTGTCATTGCCTCTTACCTTTTCTGTTTGCCACTTTGTTCTTTTAGCTGCTTCCCCTCCCAACCCTAGCACACCTATTTTATTGGCTTCTTTGCCTAAGGCTATGCTTTTCAGCTTTTATGTGGAAAATCTAACCTTTTGTAGATCTCACTGGCCAATCAGAATGGAAATAATCATAGTGCATCTGGGAATGATCTTAGGCTTCCTAATTCTCAGCCTTTTCATTGTTGCTGGTTGCTTAGAGTGCGCTTCACAAATACCAAAAAAACATTTTCAATCATGCTTTGGGGGCTACTTTATTTGTTCAGATTTGCAGGAGGTGTGTTCGAATAACTGAAATATTATTGAATAATCATTATGGTACTGTGTTTCTGTAACGCCCCAATTGAAATAACATACTTACTTGCTTTGCTACCCCTGCCCTAACATTTCATCTAATTCCTAATATTGTATTAGGATACACAATGCCAATGTAATCAGAGCATGTTCTGAATTAACTAGTACGATTAACTACACCAATCTCTACTGTTGGATAACAGGTTTACATAAATTTGTATTCCTAAAACAGATAATTTTAAAAGATGTTTTTAAACTTCATAATAATGACTATTTGGTTTGCATAAATGCCATCTTACTAGATAGTTAACTGTGAAACTCCTTTTTTACTTTAAGTACTTTTTTACAGTAATTGGAATTACTACTTTTACCAAAATCACCTAGTGTAATCCATTTTAAGGAGATTCATGTATATTTCTCAGTGTTTTCCCACTTTATCCAAGTTTTGAGAGTCACTTCACTGAACTAAGACAGTGGAAAACAAAAGGTGCAAAAATCCACTCTGTATTCTTGGTCTTAGATCCACATTGAGGTTTTTTAAATTTTTAAATAAGGGTTTTTTTTCTGATTATGAAAATATCTGCTTATCTGATCATATTTAGAAAACAAGAACATTGCAACAAAGAGAATAAACATTGCATACCTTGCTGCAAATTTAAAATGACATTTTATGCATTTATGTGTAAGTTTGATTAATAATAAATAATAGTTGACACTTAGTGAGCACATAGTATCTGCCTGCTCTGTTCTAAGCACTTTGCAAGTAGTGACTAATTTAATCCTCACAACTATAATGAGGTAGTTTACCTTATTCATTATTTTCATTTTAGAGGTGGTGAAATTGGCATATGGAGATTAAAGAATGTGCCCAGTGTCATACAAGCTAATAAATGTATTATGTGTTTCCATAATAAATGACAGAGCTGGGGTTCAAACTCAGGATATATTCATAACCACAGTGCTTTATTGCTTTTATATATGTTTATATTTGCATGCATACCTGTATCATTTTGTCTGCCTGTCTGTTTCATTTTAATGGAATAAGGGTCTCTAAAGGGATTCTAGTTTGCCCCTGGATTAAGGGACAAACAGATAAAAGTAAGAGGGGGAAACTTTTACTTTTTAATTTGTGCTCTTTTACTTATTATTTTCTGTGAGATGTTCAATTTTATAATTAAAAAATAGACTTTTAAAGAGACTAGAATTGTGAATACATAGATACTTGCTCCACATTGTGAGTTTCCCATTTCTGGGGGAATAATTAGAGATGATCATTTCAGCAGCATTTAATGGATTCAAATTCTGTCTGACTCACAGGAAGTTCCCCTTTCCAGACCAGACTCAAGAGACTTTGGGAAGAGGATATAACACTGACCAAAGGTGATAGAAACTTATTGTCTAGTTTCTTACTTCAGCCTTTAAAGACCTGTGTGAGATTGTCATGAGAAACCACAACTATCCCACTAAAACGTGGTACCTGCAGATAATACTCATTAGTACTGGTGAGGTCAGTGCAGTTCTTGTCAGTGATCCGGGCCCCTAGCTGCTGCCATCCCTGTCTGTTTAGTCTTGTCTTTGGCCTTATAAGCACATTCTCCTGTCTTATTCTCTGCACTGGTCTTTTTTTCCATAATGTGAGCTTACTGGAGTACATTTCTTTTCCTGCCCATCTGGCCAAACTCTTTAATAACTTATTTGAGGATATGTTGTCTTGATACTTAGCAACCTGAGTGAACTCAGGTCCAGCTTTATTGGAGAGCAATGGCCCTGCTCCATTACGGCCCTTCCTTTGAAGACTGTCCTAGACACCTCTGGATTGAAAGTGTAGCAGAAAAAATATCTGCTTATTCCTGAAAAGACTACCTTAAGCCAGTGGTTCTCAACCTTGGCTGCACATTAGAATCACCTGGGAATCTTTTTAAAATCCTGATTTTGGGGCCTCATCCTCCGGAAATTCTGTTTCTTTGTTATGGGGTGAGGCCACAACATTAGTAACAGAGAAACAGAATTTCCGGAGGATGAGGCCCAGAAATCAGGATTTTAAAAAGATTCCCAGGGGATTCTAATGTGCAGCCAAGGTGAGAACCACTGCCTTGAGCAAATATATTGTGATTCTGGTTAATTTTGGCTCTGGACAACCCCAAAGTAAAAAACCTGGGATAAAGTAGAATTTTAACCATTTCTGTCCATTTTCATTGAGTTAGTATTTTAGTTGAAGCGGTCATCATTTCAGGTCTGCTATAATTTTGCCCGTAGAGTTTGTCCCTCCTTCTGCCAGACCAACTTCAGTTTATCCTCTGGGGTTACCATAATGCAATTGAAGTAAAAAGTCCAGCAGCAGCAGGAGCAAATGAGATGCTCTTGAAAGGTGTTGGGAGCAAAGGAGAAATGTGGGGAAAATGGTATTCATATTGATCATTCTCTTGTAATAACTATGAATTCGTAGTGAAAAGGGGAATAATAGAAAAAAATTGTATATATAGTATAGTAACAAAAATGTTTTTAATCTCTTTGCTAGGAGTGCTTTGTAAAAATAACATTCATAATTTGATGAAGCTAAAGTTTGTCTGTTTGTCTTATAAATATATTTAACTCTGGAATTTTGTGTCATAAGAAAGGCATATGCATGTCCTTTTCATTTCATTGATTTTAATAAAAGATATAAATCCAGTCCTCAAATGCTGGCAGATTTAGTAATTTGTTCACTCACTTCAGATCTAAACATAAGTGATTTAAAATAAAATAAAATAAAATAAAATAAAATAAAATAAAATAAAATAGGAAGTTTGTTGCTACATAAATATTTTTTTTATGGATAGATTCTGATTAATACAAGCAAAAGTGGGGTTTTCAAATGGCTAGGTTTCATGACTGATACCATCAAAGGGCATATTTCTCTCTAAGACAGAAATTATCTGAAATAAACAGATTGGGGGAAAACCAAAGGCTTCTAGTGAGATAAATATTTTATTGGGTAGAATAGGTTGTGTGGTTTTATAATAAAATCTAGAGGCCCGGTGCACAAAAATTTGTGCACTCGGGGGTGGGGGTCCCTCAGCCCGGCCTGTGCCCTCTCGCGGTCTGGGACCCCTCGGGAGATAACGACCTGCTGGCTTAGGCCTGCTCCTGGGTGGCAGAGGGCAGGCCCAATCTCTAAGTGCAGCCCCTGGCCGGGCTCAGAGCAGGGCCGATTGGTGAGTTGGGGCGCTGCCCCCTGTCATGCACAGAGCAGGGCGGATCGGGAGGTTGCTATGTCACCCTCAGTCATGGTCAGGGTAGGGCCGATTGGGGGGTTGGGGCGTGCCCCCTGTCACACTCAAGGCAGGGTCGATGGGGAGGTTGCAGCGCCACCCCCTGTCACGCACAGAGCAGGGCCGATCAGCGGGTTGGGGCGCTGCCCCCTGTCACGCACAGAGCAGGGCCCATCAGGGGGGTTGGGGCTCCATACCCTGTCATGCACAGAGCAGGGTTGATCAGGGGGTTGGGGAGCTTCCCCCTGTCACGCACAGAGCAGGGCCCATCAGGGAGTTGGGGAGCTCCCCCCTGTCACACACAGCAGGGCCCATCAGGGGGTTTAGGAGCTCCCCCCCGTCACTCACAGAGTAGGGCCGATAGGGGAATTGGGGCACCGCCCCCTGTCACACACAGAGTAGGGCGGATCAGGGGATTGGGGTGCCGCCCCCTGTCACTCACAGAGCAGGGCCGGTGGGGGGCGGTTGGGGCGCCGCCCTCTATCACCACAGAGCAGGGCCAATCAGGGGATTGGGGCACCGCCACTGTCACACTCAGGGCAGGGCCAATGGGGAGGTTATGGCTCTACCCCGTCACACACAGAGCAGGGCCCGTGGGGGGGGGGGGGGGCTTGGGGCGCCGCACCCTGTCACACAGAGAGCAGGGCGGATCAGGGGGTTGGGGCACCGCACCCTGTCACACACAGAGCCGCAGGGCGATTAGGGGGTTGGGGGCTCCCCCCTATCAGGCACAGAGCAGGGCTGATCAGGGCATTGGGGTGCCTTCCCCTGTCATGAACAGAGCAGGGCGGGAAGGGAGGTTGTGGCCCCGCCCCCTGTCACACACAGAGCCGCAGGGCGATCAGGGGGTTTGGGCGCTGCCCCCGTCACGCTGATCCCAGTGCCAGGAGGCCTCGCGGCTCCGCTGATCCTGGTGCTGGGAGGCATATTACCCTTTTACTATATAGGATAGAGGCCTGGTGCACGGGTGGGGGCCGGCTGGTTTGCCCTGAAGGGTGTCCTGGATCAGGGTGGGGGTCCCCACTGGGGTGCCTGGCCAGCCTGGGTGAGGGGATGATGGCTGTTTTCAGCTGGTCACACACCCTTCAGGGTGGGGGTCCCCACTGGGGTGCCTGGCCAGTCTGGGTGAGGGGCTGAGGGCTGTTTTCAGGCTGGCGGGTGACTGAAGCTCCCAACCACTTCGTTTTCTCTCTCTTTTTTTTATTCTGGGCCAGCTTTAGCTCTGAGGCTTGGCTCCAGCTCTTAGGCCTCCGCTGCTGAAAGCAGGTATCTGGTTTGTTTGGGTTCTATAATCGAAACACTGTTTCAACTCCAGCTCTGAGATCCCAGACGGCTGAAAGCAGGTTTCTGGGGTTTTGTTTAGCTTCTATATTTGTAACAATGTTTCAAACTGCAAGCTCAGAGGCCGGCAAGGCAGGCAGGGAACGTTGGAGTCCTCCGTCACTGAAGCAAGCAAGCCTCATGTTCACTTCAAGCTGCCTGGCTGCCAGCCGCCATCTTGGCTGGCAGTTAATTTGCATATCACCCTATTAGCCAATGGAAGGGTAGCGGACGTACAGCTAATTACCATGTTTCTCTTTTATTAGATAGGATAATCTGGACCATCAATTATCTTCATAAATAAATGTTTATTTGAAATAATATATTCAGTTTTCGTGGTTTTATTTTTATTTCACCATATTCCTAGGTGATTTAATTAAAATACACTTTCCAACAAACCCACTTATCAGTTTCTCCAACTCAGAGCAAATTAAGAGGTGGGGTGCCTTAAGCAGCACACTGACAGTGAGGTAACCACTGACAGGCTGACGAGAGAGGGGGGGAAAGCAAAACTCTTCAAATTAAACAAAAACAGTCCAGGTTTATTTGTAAGAAGTGGTTCTTAAACTTTGAGTTATGGACACCTTTGAGCTATCTGATGGAAGCTGAAGACTTTTTGCCCAGAAATCTGCGTAAACATGTATTAATTTACATTCAGTGTTGGGATTCTTGGGCTCCCTAAATCCCACCCATTCTTGGGCTCCAGGTTAAAAACCCATGATTTAGTGAAAGGGCAAATAGCTTTGCATACCTCAGTAACCTTTAAGAGCATGACTTTAGGACCGTTTATAGGTAATTGACAATGCTGAGTTAACAGAAAATGCAAAATTTTGTGCTATACACTTAATGAATATATAATATTTCTTCTTTGAATTAAAAATATTCATTTTTTTCCACTTAACATTTATCCCATTATCTGAAAAACTCAATCTGCATTCCTCAGAGATATTGATTAGTGAGGTATTATTCTGCGTTTGCACAAAATAAGCTAGCTACATCTTGCATTTAATTTAATCAGTGATGTCCTGGAGCCTTTTAGTGCTAGTGAGATTGTGAGCATCTCTTCCCAGCTCCCTATTCTGAGATGTCAAGTTGACCTTCCATAGGGGGAGTGTTCATATTGCTGAAGACCTATCAGTCAAAGCTTGCTCTGTGCTCATTTATTTTTATTTTTTTAAAATATATTTTATTGATTTTTCACAGAGAGAAAGAGAGAGGGATAGTTAGAAACATCTATGAGAGAGAAACATCTATCAGCTGCCTCCTGCACATCTCCCACTGGGGATGTGCCCGCAACCAAGGTACATGCCCTTGACCGGAATCGAACTTGAGACCTTTCAGTCCGCAGGCCGAGGCTCTATCCACTGAGCCAAACTGGTCAGGGCCCCAGGTTGGTTTTTAAATACTTCCTAGCATGTAACTGATTTAAACTACTCATTTTAGTGCCTGTTGTGTTCCAGACACTGTCCTCGGTGCCAGTGATACAATAGTGAATAAACAGAGATTACTTAAGCGAATGTATTTTTCTAAGTCCTAAATTTCCTAATAAAGAGGGAAGAATTGGGAGTTTCTTAATTGAATAATGGTGGGAAATGTGGACTCAAACCAAAGCAAATGGGTTTTCTTACTGTAGAATCTACGGAATCTTTTAATATGCTATTGTGCATTGTTACTCTGTAGGAAGAGAATATAGTAGGGGTTATTTTCAGGACCTAACCAAGGAATGCCCCCCAACACCCCAGGATGTCTTTAACATCTTTCAGAAACACTGTTCTTCCTCTCCAGGGTGTTAGGAACTGGTGACTAAAG